CAGAATTCCCCAGCCAGCGAATGCTGGCTGGGGAATTCTGGGAGTTGAAGTCCGGACATCTTCAAGTGGCCAAGGTTGAGAAACACTGGCCTAAGACTACATTTATACTGCAACTATTTTTGTATGAAATCCCATTTTGACCATGCTGTTTTTATTGATTTTGCTGTCCTCCACAGAAACAATAGTGAAAGACTTCAGGGACGGCAAACAAATCAAAGGGCTGAAATAAATGTAAGCAATAACTGAATTAATTAACATTAATTAATGCCAGGCGAAATGACTCCGCGTGCCACTTCGTGCACGCGTGCCGTAGGTTCGCCATCACGGTCCTATAACATCAAAGACAGCCTGGGATTGGGCTGTTTGAAAGAACACACTCCAGGCTTTAAGGGTACTGGAAATCCTTTTCTCCTGCCACTTAAGACATAAGAGTAGATATAATTTAATTTAATTTAATTCTCAAAATTTATATGCCGCCCAATCCCCAAGGACTCCGGGCGGCTTAGAAAAATTGAATTGAATTGAATTTATTGCACTTATATAAAAAGAAGAAAAAAAGAGAAAAAAAGAAAAAAGACAGTTGAAAATCATAAAACCACATGCATTAGTTCTGATCGGGGCTGGACCTCAACAATGAGGTCAACAGCCCCAGGCCTGCCAGAACAGCCAGGTTTTAACAGCTTTCCTGGAGGCCATGAGGCCAGGTAAAAGACATTTTCAGTGGCTTCTCTCAGAGGCTAGATCGGTCTCAGTGATTCTGCCTCATGATTGTGCAGTGCTTCATTGTCAAAGGAAAAAAAGGGGTGTGAACATAGAAACCACTTGTTTGCAACACCTTAAATCAGTGGCATATTTTCCTGGGGTCCCCTACAGGGCCTTTCCCAGCTGCCTAAACAATTCCTAAAACAAGATGCACGTTGAGTTGCAAACAAGTGCTTCAAATCCCCTTTTCGCTTCTAAACAGATCTAAAATGTTAGCTTCCTTTTTCCACATGCGTTCAAAAAAATGATTTTATTCAGGTGGGCCGTAAGATGGGGATTTTACCACAGGAGTGGATCCGTATTAATGTTCTTAGCGTGATCTAGTCAACTGATGGATTTATTGTCATTGAAGTAAAACTACAATTTCTTGAACTCAGAGGAATTTTAATAGTCACACAAACATTTATTTCATCCATCTCCAGCAAGAAAAGCCATGCCTAAGCCACATCTAAGGATGCGAGAGCTGATGAAATATTTATAAGAAAACTCAGTAAGCGTCATGGTAAATAGTCAAAGGTGGCTCACATCCTCAGTTCAACCCTGAGCTACAAACTTTCTCTTGTATCAGGATGGTTTACATCAGGGGTAGTCAACCTTTTTATACCTACCGCCCACTTTTGTATCTCTGTTAATAGTAAAACTTTCTAACCGCCCACCGGTTCCACAGTAATGCTGATTTATAAAGTAGGGAAGTCAATTAAATTAAAAAATGCTTCAGTATCATTCAAAACCCCCTCCGCCCACCATGAAAGCAGGAACGCCCACTAGTGGGCGGTAGGGACCAGGTTGACTACCACTGGTTTACATCCTTCAGAGGGAACTTGCCCATTTCTGTAGATAAAGTGTGTGTCCTGTACTGCAATTGAATCACAGCAATTTTGTGGGTTACAGTCCTAAAACAAACCGGTGTTTATTCATCTTCTTTACTCCTGAAGTATGTTCTCCAAATGTTTTCTTCAGGCCGCTTGCAAGGCGATAGAACAAGCAAAGAGTCAAAATATCAAAAAACTGGCAATCTATACTGACAGCAAATTCACCATTAATGGTAAGTATTTTAGACACGGAGAAATGAAATAGCTGCTTAAAATGATAACAGATGACAGAAGGCATTCTGCATTCTCTTGTCTCACCAGACACGGTCAACGTCCATTAAACTATTTCTTTTCTGCACTTAAAAATGTTCGAAATTATTTTTCCCCTTGCTTTTTATTTACTGTATTTTTCGGACTATAAGACACACTGGAATGTTAAGACGTACCAAAATTCCGAAGAGGTAAACAACAACAACAAAAAAAAGGCTTTTTCCCTCCCCGGTCCCCAGGGGCATTCTGCAGGCCTCCCAACCCCTGTGTGTGTCCCATTATTCACAAAAATGAAGAATTCTGGGAGTTGAAGTCCGGACATCTTCAAGTTGCCAAGGTTGAGAAACACTGCTATATCATATGAGCAAGCATCTCCTTTGTCTTCCTATAATATTTTTCCATAGTGAATTTGACAAGACAATTGTTTTAAATCGTTATTGAGGTGTCTTAAGAAATAAATATGAAAAAAAAATCCTTTGCTGANGAAAATAAGACAGGGTCTTATTTTGTTTTGCGCCCCGAAATAAGCCCTTGGCCTTATTGGTCTTATTTTCTTTTGAGGTGCAGAAGGCAGTGAGTGTGGTCACCTCTTGGCTGCTGCTGTGCTGCAATATTTTTGGGGAGGGCTTACTTTAAAGCAGGCTCTCAAAAGCCCGATTGGGCTTATTATCCAGGGAGGTCTTATTTTCAGGAAAACAGGGTACTAGTGACTTGCTTCTATGCGAAATAACTGTAAGAGATAAGAATTTGGGGTTTGAATGTTGCAAGTTCTATAAGTAGCTAAAATAAACACTAGGGAAGATAGAAAAAAATAATTCTAGCAAATGATCAAACAAGCAAATAAGGGGAAACTGTTGCGAATGTGTGATGGAAGGTAGTCTAGATTCCCAGGAGGGAGGACCTACATTCCAGAGGGCCAAGAGGCAATGAAGTTTAAATAGTTCGGTTGAACTTCTCAGCGTATGCCTTGAGGGGAAGAAATGTTATCCAATTGTAAATGTACACATTGTTTTCCAGTAGTGGAGGGAAGTTATCCGAAGCTGAATTATGCATTTCTTCTACTTCAGCAGGCAGGACAAAAGCCACAGGGGAGAGGAACCCTCTGAGCTAGTTTTCTAGACCAGGTCCATGGCATCTCGGCCTGCCACCTTCGTGTGGGGCAGCTCCTCAGGAAACTCACCCTGTGACAACTTGCCACGTTCCTGTGGGGTCCCACAGGGGTCCCTTCGCAGGAGGCAGCTGTCAACCATGGCGTTGCAACGGACCACATGTTTGGATCCAGGTCCGGCTTCCCATGGGTGTGGCTGGTCAGTCAGGTTGGAGTGTGTCTGCTCTGCATAGCTATCTGCCGTGCGCACGTGGAAGATACATCCTGCTTGCCAGGGAGGCATCCCAACTGAGCCGCATTCAGCTGTTCTTTTTCCCCCGCGGGCCTCTCAAGAGGATGCCACCCATGCCAGTCTCACCAGTGCAGCTCTCTCCTCCAGTGTGCTGCACTGGACCACGACTGTTTCCAGGGCACAGAGGGGAGCCAAGCAGGGGCAGTGCCAGCCATCTGGCAACTGTCAGTGACTCCCATTCATGCAGGGGGTTTCCCTTTGAAGGCTTCCTCGTCTCCCTTTCCAGCACCACCACCCTCGACAGACAGCTGCGCATAGTAAGCACACTCTGACCCGGCCAGCTGGCCGCACCCATGGGAGGCCAGAGCTGCACACGTGGTTTGTCACAATACTGTGGTTGATTGGGAATGCTGGCTGGGGAATTCTGGGAGTTGAAGTCTGGACATCTTCAAGTTGCCAAGGTTGAGAAACACTGAACTTTTTGAACTTTTTCATCTCCTACCTGTTTGGATAATTTTAATCATTATTAAAATGAAAGTTATCAGTGTTTCTCAACCTTGGCCACTTGAAGATGTCTGGACTTCAACTCCCAGAATTCCCCAGCCA